GCTGTGTGAATTTCTTACGGGGTAGAACGAAAGCCTCAAAAATGTCTGTTTTATATTATTGTGAATATTTTAGTACTTGGCATGCAGTTTATCATGTTAGAAAACCTTGACCCTGAAATGTGCAGGATTCAGCAAATCGTTTTAATTTGTTCACACATACAAGTAGAAAAAATACTGAATAAAATTAATTGCATTACTCTAATTGCTTTAATCGAGTTACCTAAAATACACCGTGTGAAATCATCAAACAGATCCAAATCACTCTAGACTCCAGAATCACGCTTCAAAATCAAGAAAGCAAATGTTTTGACACATTAACGCTCATTAACTACACCTTCACTTAAGATATTATTTAAAAGAGAAATCCACAGGATATTGGTTAAGTGATAACAGAAACATCGTCCTGTTCTCTAGCTGTTCGTCTGCCTTCTAAACTTCAGTGTCAACAGGCGCTAATTTCCTGCCACTTCTGTCAGCACCGGAGGTGGAACATCCATTTACTAGTGTAATGCTCTTGATAGGGGCAGAACGATGTTATTTTTCAATTAACAGAGATTTCAACTGGAACAAATATTTTCTTCAAACACATATCTCTATTGGTAGATTATATTTTGGATTTATCATTCCTAATGTGCGATTGAATGGTGATACTCATGCCTCTGGAAAGTCCTGACATTCAATTTCTCACAACACACCTGATCACTAGTGAAAAGACTGAAGGAAACAGACTGACAATGAAATGAAGGGTTTAAATTCAAAGATGCTGTATAATCAAAAGAAAAAACATAAATATATGATTCAGGTTCTGTATTTAATTATCCAAAGCCATAAATATAATCAAAACTAAAATTATTTAATAACGTCTGATTTCACATGTCTTAACCTGTGTAGACATTTCTTAACCAAGACCCTAACAACTGAATGACCTTGAATACAACAGCCTTGGCCTTACACCACAAGCAGCTGTTCTGTCCCGCTACTTGGGGTGAGACGAGGTGAAAGTGGGGTCCCCAAACTTTTCCTTTTCACAGCTTTCCCTCGTTAGTTTGGAGATCGTATCTGGACATATCAACACTTTCATCAATACCAACTTTAAATCACAACACTGCTGTCCCAATAACTTTACAAAAATAATGTAATTTTTGTTAAAGTTACAGCACTTATCATATTTCACACTCCTTCCTCTAATGTGTTTTATCCAACAAGTAAGGATGCTGCAATAAAAACACATTTATTGAAAAACCCTTGTCATCAAATTCCATGGCAACGCATTTTAAAATTCATGGTTGCTTTAAAGTTTCGTTTTCATTGATTCCTAGTCAAAGAGATGCTTTGCAGATAAAACCCCTATCTGATAGAGACTGTCTAAAAACAGCTTGATCACCCGCACTTCTTTTCTCCTTTTTGTTATGTTTACCATAAATCACAACACAATTGACAGCCAGGCTATCCTGCTGATCTGTGGAGTAGTAAGGTGGCGGTATGTCACAATGACCTAATGGGTCCTGCTGTATCACTCCCCTAGTGGGGAACCGTACCATACAAATCTTAACAAAAACACTATTTACATAAACGATGACAATACAAGAGATAAAAGGCAACATCACAGAATCGTAGTGTTACAATATCATACTTTCCTTCTCCAAACCTAATACGGATAATGATTACACAATGATTCTATTGTACGATGAGAAATATCACATGTTCGGAAGATTTAACATTTGAAATAGGATATAAAAGCTCAAGACTCAGCCACAGTCATTAAGATCAGTCAACACAGGTAGCAAAGTATAAAACATGACAAATGTAAAGAAAATAGGTCTCTCATCCTGTTACAAAACAGATGTGACAATAATGACCGGTAGTACATCCAATGGAGATGTTTTATGACCTGTTTAACAAATAAATATCATTTGAATGATTCCATCAGTTGAAACACACAAAAGTACAATACAGACATTTGTGAGATTTGCAAGTTTAAAAACATCAGACAGGTTCTACAGGTATGATCAGTTTCCGTGTCTGATGGCACATCACACATTCTGAAGGCTATGAACACGTATGACATTGTTTTGGTAAGGGTTGTTGAAGCTATGAACATGTATGACATTGTTTTGGTAGGGGATGTTGAAGCTATGAACATGTATGACATTGTTTTGGTAAGGGTTGTTGAAGCTATGAACACGTATGACATTGTTTTGGTAGGGGATGTTGAATCTATGAACACATATGACATTGTTTTGGTAAGGGATGTTGAAGCTATGAACACGTATGACATTGTTTTGGTAGGGGATGTTGAAGCTATGAACACATATGACATTGTTTTGGTAGGGGATGTTGAAGCTATGAACACGCATGACATTGTTTTGGTGGGGGTTGTTGAAGCTATGAACACGCATGACATTGTTTTGGTAGGGGTTGTTGAAGCTTTGAACATGTATGAAGATAGTGTTTTGGAAAACAAGGGAAGGCAATCCATAGTCCCCCACCAGTCATGATTTCTATATTTAACGAACAGTACATTTATGTCAGGAAGCAAAGGTCACAGTGAGGTCTCCATCCCAAGATGTCCTTGTACACCAAATCTTTTACTCCAGGTGAAATAGTACAGAAGACATGTCTGGGAAAAACATTTTCAAAAGTTAAGGTCAAAGGTCAAGTCAAAGGCCACAGTGACTTAATTCTTGCACTCTCACTCCGCCATCTCAAGATGTACTTGTACACCAAATCTGGTTAAACCAGGTGAAATACTATAGAAGATATGCGCCGGACAAACTTCACGGACGAACGGATGGAGTGCAAACCTAAATTCCCCCTTGAACTGGTGGGGGACTAATAAAGTTGTGAGAAATCACCAGAAACGCCCATTTCAAAAATAAAATCAAAAAAATCTTGGGCAATCAAATCTCAATATTGTATTGCATAGTAATTTTACTGTCAGCTTGCCTTTTCCATGTGGTAATAAGTTGTCTTTAAGAAAGTAAAAGGCATCTTGTTAAAGAACAAAACTTGAATTAAGAATCTTTATAACTAATTGTTGGAGTAAAGTTACTAAAAACGTCCCAATGGCCCTAAATATTTTGGAGGGACATATTACCACAGCTATGAAGCGAGTCACTGAGGTTAAGGAAGTACTGACTTATGTAAATCATCAATACATGTGTCTGGTCATCCTGCGAGACAAGCCTCCGACAGAAGTTACAATGATGTATGAACGTTTGAAGTGAAACCCAGTGTACGTACCTATACATCAGAGGTCTCTGATATAAGGCTGGTTACTGGAGTCTGCTGGAAATATTGAGGAAGGAAAAATGTCATTCCTCATCCTAGCTTTGACATTTATTGTTGTTTAGCTGTAAATGGTTATTCATCTCATTGCGTGCCAAAATGACAAGTTTTGACATCTGACCAATCACAATGTATCTCCTACTATAGCCCTTTATTATTCATCGTGACATTGCTTTAGCAGACTTACCCATATCAATCTTCATCATGCTATTGTAAAATTCCTCAGATATTTAAAGCATGAATANTGTTAAAGCTTGCTAGCCCAGGTATTGTATAGAAGTCGGGAACGTATNAACGAACAGTACATTTATGTCAGGAAGCAAAGGTCACAGTGAGGTCTCCATCCCAAGATGTCCTTGTACACCAAATCTTTTACTCCAGGTGAAATAGTACAGAAGACATGTCTGGGAAAAACATTTTCAAAAGTTAAGGTCAAAGGTCAAGTCAAAGGCCACAGTGACTTAATTCTTGCACTCTCACTCCGCCATCTCAAGATGTACTTGTACACCAAATCTGGTTAAACCAGGTGAAATACTATAGAAGATATGCGCCGGACAAACTTCACGGACGAACGGATGGAGTGCAAACCTAAATTCCCCCTTGAACTGGTGGGGGACTAATAAAGTTGTGAGAAATCACCAGAAACGCCCATTTCAAAAATAAAATCAAAAAAATCTTGGGCAATCAAATCTCAATATTGTATTGCATAGTAATTTTACTGTCAGCTTGCCTTTTCCATGTGGTAATAAGTTGTCTTTAAGAAAGTAAAAGGCATCTTGTTAAAGAACAAAACTTGAATTAAGAATCTTTATAACTAATTGTTGGAGTAAAGTTACTAAAAACGTCCCAATGGCCCTAAATATTTTGGAGGGACATATTACCACAGCTATGAAGCGAGTCACTGAGGTTAAGGAAGTACTGACTTATGTAAATCATCAATACATGTGTCTGGTCATCCTGCGAGACAAGCCTCCGACAGAAGTTACAATGATGTATGAACGTTTGAAGTGAAACCCAGTGTACGTACCTATACATCAGAGGTCTCTGATATAAGGCTGGTTACTGGAGTCTGCTGGAAATATTGAGGAAGGAAAAATGTCATTCCTCATCCTAGCTTTGACATTTATTGTTGTTTAGCTGTAAATGGTTATTCATCTCATTGCGTGCCAAAATGACAAGTTTTGACATCTGACCAATCACAATGTATCTCCTACTATAGCCCTTTATTATTCATCGTGACATTGCTTTAGCAGACTTACCCATATCAATCTTCATCATGCTATTGTAAAATTCCTCAGATATTTAAAGCATGAATAAGATGTACGTTCATACACATCTAATGACCTAACAATGGCCAGTGGTCATCCCACACCTTGTAACACCAACTGACCAATCACAACATTCATTGCAAATCACACAAACCGATCGGAGGATACAGGACAGTAGTGACACCACTGACCATAGAATTACAACATAACACAACATTAGTTGATAATAAATAAATTATCTTTATTTAACGTCGTGTACACTGTCAACAACAAACATAAGCTCTGAAGAGCTTTTATTACGACGTCGCTAAGGGAACAAATGTGTTGATAATCAAACTGACCAATCATATTGAAGAACTGTGTTCAAACTGTGACAAAATAAACTGACCAATAGAATAGAAGTAAACACTTACAACCAAACCACCAATCACATTAACAGCTTACCTGCACAGCTTTTTGGGTGATGGCTCGTTTTCTGGTTCCTCTGTTTCAGTGCACTCTGGGAAGTGGAACTGACATAGAATTTTCTGTGCAGCCTCGTGACAGCGGTTCTCCGTGGATGGGGCCTGGGACGTTGTCAGGTCGTGGAGAAGCTCACGGACCCGACTCTCTGGATCATTGATGGACTGCCTGACATACACTGGTCTTGACCCCAGGACAGAGGCACACACACTACCATTGTATGGTAGACACTGTGGGGTTTGTCTGTAATACATATAACATACATTAATCAGATTGCCTCAGTATATTGACCCAATATCAGTAATACATGGTAATAATTCAGTCAACCCACTGTATAAAAACTTTGGTTTTTGTGGAATTAATTATCACATTTACACAGAAAAATGCAAATCCCATAGCTATATTAAATTTTTCTGGTAAGACTAGGTCTCCATAGCATTCCTCCACTGATGACTTAGTCTTGTTGGAATCATAATAAAAAAAAAAGCTGCAAAAAGTACCTTGTAAAAGTACCCTGTAACATACTCCTGAAAAATTACCCTGTAAAGTGCCCCTAAAATAACCCTGTATCATTTTGTCCAGGGTGTATTTATGCATGTACCAAAATTAGCTAGTCAGGTAAAAATGTATGAATTGTCTTAATAATAATAATAATTATAATTTGAGGTTCTCATATACCGCTTTATCACAACCTAGTTCTAAGGTCGTCTTAAAGCGGTTCCCAAATTATTATCCGTGGTTATAGGGCCTTTGCAGCCAGATAATATCTTTCTCAACTCATTGGGGAGAATTCTATCACCACGTACTCCTTTACAGCTGAGTAGACTGGACCAAGCAGAGTTAAGGATCTTGCTCAAAGATACAGCACAGTGCTGTGCTGTGACGCGAACCCGCAACCATTTGGTAGCGAAGGGGTTGTCTTGTTGATGATATAAAAAGGGGTTGTCTTAATTAACTTGTTGATGATTTACGGCAATTAGACAATGTCCTGTATATGATTGATGTCTTATCTCTTCACCAATAACATGCTGAAACAGGCATGAGTGTCCAGCGCTATAAAAGTACATGTGTGTCCAGCACTATAAAAGTACACGTGTGTCCAGCACTATAAAAGTACATAAGTGTCCAGCACTATAAAAGTACATGTGTGTCCAGCACTATAAAAGTACACGAGTGTCCGGCGCTATAAAAGTACATGTGTGTCCGGCAATATAAAAGTACATGTGTGTCCGGCACTATAAAAGTACATGAGTGTCCGGCACTATAAATGTACATGTACATGTGTGTCCGGCACTATAAAAGTACATGAGTGTCCAGCACTATAAAAGTACACGTGTGTCCACCACTATAAAAGTACATGGGTGTCCAGCACTATAAAAGTACATGTGTGTCCAGCACTATAAAAGTACACACCAGGTCAAGTTGAAACATCTCACATTACATTTCTAAACAATTATTAACTTCAAATATGAAATTTACATAACGGTTATTTTCAAAAAGTATTCAATTGTCAAATGTGACATTTGAGTTCAGTTTCCAGACTTGAAGTGATATATTAGTTATTAACTGTTCCTACATGTAGCGTATCAGTCGGTAACCGGTCTAGCAAGTAGACTGATATATAGAGGCCCGACTACAAAGGTAATATATATCATATACATATATGTTAATATAGATGAATCCTGTGTAATAGTTTTAAGTGGTGACACAACCAGTATGGGCCGGTGTAATCACCTCACATATAGACACATTATGTCTCTGTTGGTGTACTGACAAGGGCAATTTAATGAAGCTTCATTCATATCTAGTTTAACTGACTCATAAATCTACATCAAACAAGAAGGCAGAAGTATGGCACTTATACTATTAATTTTTGTTTTCCTTTTCATGTGATTCTAAGATATATTTTAATATTTCAAGCTTTAAGGGGTGAATTTCAAATATTTTTCATGTTGGGATAAGTTATGTAATGCAAATGCAGGAGATTCCAAATAATATGACCATAGATTACGGAGGTCATTTACAACCATAGATCACCGAGGTCATTTACAACCATAGATCACCGAGGTCATTTACAACCATAGATCAC